AAGAAGTACTGGTAATAGTAGTTGTCGAAGAAGTAGGAATAGAAGTAGTAGTAGTAGTAGTTGTCGAAGAAGTAGTTGTAGTAGTAGTTGTTAAAGAAGTAGAAATAGAAGTAGTAGTAGTTGTCGAAGAAGTAGTAGTAGTAGTAGTAGAAGAAGTAGTAGTAGTTGTCGAAGAAGTAGGAATAGAAGTACTAGTAGTAGTTGTTGTCGAAGAAGTAGTAGTAGTAGTTGTCAAAGAAGTAGTAGTAGTAGTAGTAGTTGTCGAATAAGTAGGAATAGAAGTAGTAGTAGTAGTTGTTGTCGAAGAAGAAGTAGTAGTAGTACCCGTGAAGATCCGGGTATAATAGGTCTTCAGCAATCCATGCTTGCCATAAATGGCGACTATGCTTGTTGTAAGAGGCAACTAACGGAATCGGATGGTCAGACCCGCTGACTTTGTTGTTGCATGTCATCGTATCCCGATTGCGTGGGTCGATGCTCATGATGTCAATCACTGGGTTGTTTGGTCAAGACTCGATTATTTACCGACCGCCTTCATATAGCTGGAATATTGCTGAGTGCGGCGTTAGACACCAAACTAGTTGTTAGCAGTAGTATCACTAGTATTTTTGTTAGTAGTAGCAGTTTTTTATTAGTAGTAGTAGAAGTAGTAGTAGTAGTAGTAGTTATTGTTGTTGTAGCAGTAGAAGTTGTTGTAATAGTAGTTGTAGAAGTAGCAGTCGTAGTAGTAATAGTTGTAATAGTAACAGTAGCAGCAGCAGCAGCAGCAGTAGTAGTAGCAGTAGTAATAGTAGTAGTAGCAGCAGTATAAGTAGTAGTAGTAGTAGTAGTAGTAGTAGTAGTAGCAGCAGTAGCAGTAGTAGTATCAGTATCGGTAATAGTAGCAGTAGCAGTAGTAGTAGTAGTAGTGGTGGTAATAGTTGTAGCAGTAGTAGCAGTAGTAGCAGTAGTAGCAGTAGCAACAGAAGCAGCAGCAGCAGCAGCAGCAGCAGCAGTAGTATCGTTCGATCAAGTAAATGGCCAAGATATGTATTTCTACTCTCACATGGCTAACACTAAAGTGAGCAAGCACAGTCGTACTAACGAACGTCGATCGTCTTATCTCTCTTCCGTCTCTGTCCTCCCACTCCTTGGCCACCAGCACCTCTACCGAGCCATGTATATACATCAGTCAGCTGTCCAACAGTCTTTCCAATAAATAAATACCAATCATAACTGTATGTGAACGATAATGTACGGGCTGCCTTCAAATTGCTGGGTACGGCGTTAGGCAGTACACAATGTTTTATTGAAGTTGTGTCAGTGGTGGATGCTACCAGTAGAGCAGGACATATCACAGCAAAAAAAGAGTAGGTTTCCGTCTTCCGGAAACCTTCCGGAAACCTTCCAGATACCTTCAGCAACCTTCTTGGTATTTTCAAGATAATGTTTTTATGTGTTTCATACTTAAGTGAACAAAATGCACCCCCCAAATTGTGACATTTTTTTGGTAAGGTTTCCGGAAGGTTTCCGGAAGGTATCCAGGCCGGATCCAAAATGGGAAGGTTTCCGGAAGATTTTCCGGAAGACGGTAACCTTCACCTTTTTTGCTGTGTATATACTTGCCCTTTTGTGCCAACACCTGGTGTCAGCATATAATTGTCATCACTCTTTTGCCTCCAACGCCCTATGGGGGGCACGGGTGGCCCAGTCGTCTAAGGCGCCGCGATTCGCTGTGCAGAGTTGCGTCCCTTGGGCACGCCAGAAACCTATGATTGTGGGTTCGAATCCCGGTTCGCCCCAATTATGTTTCTAGGTTTGTCAGCACCATAACCGTGCTAGTGGGTTTCACCGAAGTGGTAAACGTCTCAGACCTGCATCACTTCGGGCTTTCCTCCCACATTAAGCTGACACGCCGTGATATAACTGGAATAATGTTAAAAGCGGCGTTAAACCCAACTCACTCACTCACTCACTCACTCACTCACTCACTCACTCACTGACTCCTACGCCCTATGGAACCTGCTTCGGTAGATAATAGAGATTGATTCTCTCGCGTTGTCATTTGGATTGTGTGAGTGAGTTTGGTTTAACGCGGCTTTTAACAGCAATCCAGTTATATCACCGCGTGTCATCTTAATGTGGGAGGAAAACCCATAGTGATGCAGGGGTGAGACATTTAGCACTTCGGTGAAACCCACGAGCACTTGTATGGTGCTGACAAACATAGAAACAAAATCGGGGCGAACCTGGATTCGAACCCACAAGCATAGGTTTGTGGCGTGCCCAAGGAACGCAAATCTCCCACCCGTGCCCACGTTGACGTTTGGAATTATGTAGAGGTTCTTTTACAGTACGTTCTTGAAACAATTACAATCACGAAAATCAACATATGTTTATAGCTTCATGGCAGCTTCTTATAGCTCCCATCTAGGCGACAAACCTATTTTCGGGTTCATCGGAGGCAGTTATCCCCAGACATGCATCCAAACAAATTGTGTTTGCTTTTGAAATATATGTTACCTATGTGTTTTCGAATATACATTACAGTAAACTACGGAAATGACGAACTCAAATGGACCACTAATTTTAGTTTGTTATAACCGTAGTTCGTTATAAGCATATATACAGCTAGCTACAGCAAATGGTCGGGACAAAAAAGGAAGTTCGCTATATCCGTCAGTTCGTTATAAGCGTGTTCGTTTTAAACGTAGTTTACTGTATATAGGTTCACAGTCAATATTAAAATATACTGTGATCTGTGAATGTATGCCTTGATTTTGGCAAAATGATTGGCATTGACACTACACGTAAATGAAGCTTCTCTCTGTAATAAAAATAACTATTGACAACTGGGGTGTGAGAGAAGAACAAGACAGGTAACTTCTACTTTACCAGCATAAATCATTAAAAGACATACTTTCAAAAAGTATGCTCCAAAGGTAACTGCAAGGAAAGAAGCAATAATTATGCTTTTGATCCTAAACTATAATGCAGATCGCAGAGTTCAAGTTTCTGCACGTGATAACGGACATTCGGTACCGCTTCGCTAAGACAAGGGTTACAGGTGGAATCTTCAACACAGCCAACACCACTGCCGAGATCGCTGTTGATATGACCCTGCCCAACTCTGCATACATCAGCGACTTCTCCTTGTAAGTCTAGCCCTGTTTAGTCAATCCATACATAATGATTATAGGATTAGGATTAGAGGATTATATCTTTCAACTTTTACCTTATTTTCTCTATTGTCTTGTGAGTACAGTCGTGTTTAGTCAAACTCTATTATTATATAAATTCATGTAAACTATATTGCAATTGAACTGACAAACATTATATGCCATGCTAGTGTGTGTGTGTGTGTGTGTGTGTGCGTGCGTGCGTGCGTGCGTGCGTGCATGCGTGCGTGCGTGTGTGTGTGTGTGTATGTGTACGTGTGTACGTGTATGTGTATTAATGTCTTGCTCTTCGAGGAGGTCTCAAGGCACACATTTGGGTCTGAGGAATACACAAGGTTGATGGAGTCAATGCAGAATATCCACACTGTCGTCCGCATAGTAGAGGAACATAAGTCGATATATGGACGCGACTATAAAATGGTTTTTGATAGCTTCTAAAAGAATGAAAACGAGAGCAAACATTAGTTTGATTTTGTGTCTATTTCAGTAAATTCAATAAAAGAAAGTACGATAGCCAGATCAAGGAACGGGAAGCTGCAGAAAAGTCGTATACAGTAGCAAAAGCACAGGGCGAAGCTGCAGGGCACGTTAGCCAGAGGTACGTCATATTCATCCTTCTATATACATCCAACTGTATGTCAAACGTCATACCCTACATGTCGTGCATTCGGACATGAAGGAACCTGCACGCCATTCAAAGGTATATCGCATATGATTCATCTTTAATCATGAACCCTAAATGTGGTGCATTCGGACATGAAGGAACCTGCACGCCATTCAAAGGTATATCGCATATGATTCATCTTTAATCATGAACCCTAAATGTGGTGCATTCGGACATGAAGGAACCTGCACGCCATTCAAGGGTATATCGCATATGATTCATCTTTAATCATGAACCCTACATGTGGTGCATTCGGACCAGGCAAAACTCCCACGACAGTCAGAGATACGCCTTATTCCATTTCATCCATCTTTCAGCGTCTTGATTACATATATAGAATTCATGGCACATTTTGACATTGGGCACTTGCAGGTTATTCAGAGGTACATCATATTTCATATCACTCATCGTCATACGTCATGACTACAATTTACACCACACGTGGGGCATTCTGACATGGGAACATTTGCAATCTATTCAGAGGTATGTCATATTACATATCACCTATCGCCATACGTCATGGTTACTCATACCCCACACGTGGTCCATTCTGACATGGGGGCACTTGCAATCTATTCAGAGGTACGTCATATTACATATATTCTATCGTCATACGTCACGGCTACGTATACACCACACGTGGTTCATTCTGACATGGCGTACTTGCAATTTGTTCAGAGGTACGTCATATAACATATCACCTATCTTCAAATATCACGGCTATTTATACCCCACACGTGGTCCATTGCGACATGTGGGCACAATTTATTCAGAGCTACGTCATATTACATATCACCTATCGTCATACGTCACGGCTACTTATACCCCACGCGTGGTCCATTCTGACATGGGGGCACTTGCAATTTATTCAGAGGTACGTCATATTACATATATTCTATCATACATTTGACTCACTTTTCTATATATTTGTATTTTCGCTCATTTGTTGTTTAACGCCACACTGCCAACAGCCTGTAGGTATTCGAGTCTGGACCAAACGCTCAAGTGATTGATATTATAAGGACATCCTCCGCCGTCCTGGTTCGATGACTCACAAACGACCACGTCACCTGGCCAGACCATTTAGTCACCTCGTACGACAAGTATAAGTTGCCCGGTTACCATACAATATATGATATGAAAATACACCTGCATGTAATATATTTTATATTATATAGTGCCCATGAGACGAACAAGTTCATATTAAACCTGAGTGTTCCTCAAAATGCCAACCTTACCTTCAACCTGACGTATGAGGAGGTGTTACAAAGACGTGATGGTGTCTACACACACTCCATCTACATCGACCCTGGCCAGCCTGTTCCCGACATGAAGATAGACGTCGCTGTACAGGACACACGTGACATTACGACCCTCAAAGTCCCGCCAATATACAGCAACAGCATAACAGATGTAGACATTACTGGTATCAACACATTTTTTCGATTTGTATAAAATATGTTTTGAAAAAAACCGCATTGAAATATAATTTTGAAAACAAGCAAAATATAGTAGATGATGAATCATTCCTTGAACCCATCCTTCAGGCATATTTCAGGCTTACAATGTCTGCGGTAATATTGACTTACATGTACATCACATATATTTCTTGTTGACACTAGAGAACAACAACCTGGCTGTCGTACAGAGACCCACCTCCAACTCTGCCTACATTCGCTTCTACCCTACCCTGGAACAGCAGTTGTCTCGGTGGGCAGAAGGACTCTCTGGGGTCTTCTCTGTGATGTTTGATGTTCACAGGGGCTTTGATGCTGGGGATCTCCTGGTGAGCTTGGCAGCTCTTGATCATTATAGTGTGGAACATATGCGTCTTTATAACATTAACCAGGGAAACGACTTTGCCATGTCAAGTATGATATGGAGGATGATATATTTCAATTCGTAGTACCTAATGACTCGTACGTTATGCTAGGTCCCCTAGTCGCCTACATTGCGTTTTTCGTTATTTTGATTTGGGATATCCGTATATCAGGTATATTTATTTCATTCATTTGTCCTCCTCTAGGTCTCAAATGGATACTTCATTCACTTCTTTGCCCCTGCCATTCCCAATCCAATCCCTAAAGACATCGTGTTTATCCTGGACACAAGCACATCCATGTACAACGGGAAGATGGACCAGCTCAAGGCCGCCATGAAGGTCATCCTCAGAGATCTCAGGGCAGACGACAAGTTCAACGTCATCTCATTCAGCTCTCGTGTCCGATTCTGGCAGTCTGACATGGCGGAAGCAAACAATGCCGAGCGTGCAGTCAAATATATTGACTCACTCAAATCTGTAGGCTGTAAGTTGTGGATGCTATTGAAACTTGTCAAATTTATTGTGGTTAGGTTAATACATCGCACGTATTTCATGTTATCCAGCGAATGATCACAAGCCATGAACTATGCTTTGTCACCCAAAGTTCATGTACACATATCTCACAATCTTACAAGAATCCACCTGCCTGTAATATATCAGTGGACAAATATTCTGCCAGCATCTTCAAGAGTGGAATGTGAACTGAGTGATTGGTATTTCAAATAAATTTCAGGGACAAACATCAGGAAGTCACTTGTTTCTGGCCTGGAATATTTGAGTGAAAGGCAGAGGTCATCTGAGGGAGCACTCATTATGTTTCTCACTGATGGAAGAGCAACTTCAGGAGAGCGTAATCCTAACATGGTTCTACAGGTAAGAACATTCCAAACGGTACTGTTCGGAAGGTTGGACGTGAAATCTGCCATGTTTTCTTCATAACCGGCGCTTACACTACTGTCATGATTGCATGGGCTGTCATAACTCATGCTCACGTCATTTGTATCATATCACATTGTTGATAATGGGGTTTTAATTTGATTTCCTATGCTACATTTATTTTTCAAAGTATTGAATCAAGCCCACTTTCAAACATCCCAAATCATGTACTTCGCAATTATCGCAGATGTATCATTATATCTGAATAACAGTCATGCCTTATTCTAAATTATATTTTCATGACACAAAATAAGTCACTCATAAAGAACTTATATCTTTCCAGAATGTGAGATCGGCCAACAAGAAGGACATCCCTGTTTACACACTGGCTTTTGGGAAGGATGCTGATTGGGAACTCGTCAAGAAACTGGCGCTCCAGAACTTTGGTATTACGAGAAGGATCTACACAGATGGTGATCCTGCCAGACAGATACAGAACTTCTACCAGGAGGTGTCGTCAGCCATGCTTCACGGTGTCACGTTCAGGTACAGCGACACTGTGACTTCCGGGACACAACAAAACTTCACAAACTACTTAGATGGATCTGAGCTTATTGTCACTGGCGTCCTTGACTCTCAGATAGACCCCTTGACCACAAACATCATAGGGACGTCTGCCAGTGGACCTGTAAACCTGAAGTTGACAAGTCCTGTAGTGGATCTAAAGTCACAGTTCGAGGCTCTAACACCCCTGTACGACGACTTCAAAGTTGAAGGAATACTGCAGAGAATGCATGCATACCTTTACATCAGGGACCTTATGCAACAGAGGGTTGGCGAGACTGACAGGAGCAAGAGAGAAACCCTGAAGCAGAAAGCTCTTAAATTGTCCCTTAAGGTAAATTAGAATTGCATATTACTTTCGCATGAACCGCTTAATTAAGTCAAAAATATTTACCTTCATGAAATCACATCAATGTAATAGTTTAAGGATTGCATAGTTTCACAATGTGTATCCACTGTAGGCAGTTAGTTTAGAGGTCCAACGTGAAGTTAAAAGAAATGTTCTTGGCAAACATACATTTACGATCCCTGATCTCATCTGTCCTATTTTTGTCCACCCAGTCTTGACGCAAATATAATGTTTCCAACAATACTAGGTTAGTAAGATATTCGTACATGTTTTGCAACATCAACATTATTATTGGGTATAACATAACCCAATCTCATTAAAATCAGATCTTAGTTCTCGCTACTGCCAAACAAAGATCTGAGGACATCCCATTAGGGGTCACGTCAGAACGACCTTTCATCCGACCAACCAGAACGTCGCTTACCAGATCATGAAAGTGACACTCGGAATGTGATTTCTTGTCATGCAACCTCGAAAACTTTAACACGGGGTATTCCGAACGATAGTTACGGGCTTAACGACTGAATCCATACAATCTAGATATCTATTAGCCATTCCAGAATGTTCTTTTTTTATTGAGAATTTGTCAAAATATGTATCGAAGCGTAGTCGCCAATTTGAAATTAGTGCCGTAAAGCACGAGAAAGTTGCCTTCTGATTAGCTAATGTCTTCTTCTTGTCAGTCATTTCATTGGTCGGTCAAAGTTGGTGCAAGGACGATCTGACGTAACTCGTAATGGAATGTCCTCAGATGTTTGTTTAGAGGGAGCGAGAACTTTTTTAATGAGATTGAACATAATCCATCTTATTTCTGTTGTCAGTATCGCTTTGTGACTCCTTTCACGTCATTAGTCGTCGATGTGAGATATCAAAAGAGGGTGCCTGACCTCCGCCGGGATGAAGATCTGTACTTTTTCAAAGAAAAGGTTCTGCCCACTCCTCCGCCATGTAGGTATTTCCCGACAACATGACTAACATATAGGCTCCTTTAACTTTATTGGGACCGTATGCCCAAACGTCTGAAGCGAAGAGTTCTTTTTTTCAGGATGAGATGATCACCACCCAGGTCGATCTGTTCATACACCTGACATCAGTATATCATTAAACGTTCCTTCCACAACTGCCATGGCTTTATATGACAGAAATAATGTAACGCTAAACCACACTCACCAAATAACAGTGACAAAACCCGTTAAGATGTGTTCTTGGAGGGTGCCACCGGTGGGGCAGGATACACTCACCTTTCCACGAACACCTGTGTCATCACTGTTTGATAGTGATTCATAAACCCATGCTCATGATGGCAGGAATAGTACAATCGACTCTGCTTTTGGCAGATATTTCTTATGATTATGTGAATGGGTTTACTGCTTGTATTTATTTTATGTCAGCTACTTTCGTGGCCACTTCATCGCTTATCACGTTTGACACATACAATGGTATTTTATTTTTGTACAATGTACCCAAGATATTGTCTCTGAATGTACCTTCCTCTCCAACGTGTAAGGCAACTGGCCCTAGGATATTTAACTTTGAAGAAAAATTAGTAATACTTGCTTTTGCTGGAATAGCTCAGACAGGCAGCCATTACAGCTAAAACAACTAGAAATTGTGCTCAATTGCCTTTATTTAACAAAATACAAGGGAATTCAATTACATGCACTCACAACACACAAACCCGTGCATATTTTATACAGCTAATACAATAGTGCATAAACATTTGGAGACTATTCTCATTTCCCATACAGTGTACTGAAACATGTTGAGTGTGACCCTGATTTTGCTGCACTAACATGACAGAAAACTATTGTGTCTCTTTATGGGTTTTCCATTTATAACAAGTACATCATGTGTAAACATGACTGTTGCTTGCAGTTATCATTGCATTTGTTAATCACGAATACTTGGGTTCGATTCACCACACGGGTTCAATGTTTGTTTGATTATTTGTTTGTTTGTTTGTGTGTTGTTTAACGCCGCTCTCTGCAATATTCCAGCTATATGACGGAGGTCTGTAAGTGATCGAGTCTGGACGAAACAATCCAGTGATTGAGATCATGAGCATCGATACATCCAACAAATAGAACATCCTGTCAAATAACATGACTTGGTGTAATCTGAGTGGCGAATGGGTCGATATTATTGATTGATTACTGATTATTCAGGGTATGATTAGATATAATGCTGTATTGAGTATCCTCAGTACTTTGTAAAACAAAAACAATAATAAAATGGCTGTGAAACAAATAAGCAGACAGTGAAAATTGAAAAGAAAATTATGTCCAAATGTTCCAGATGTGAGACGTTACTATGGCGGTGGCGGTGGCGGTGGCGGCTCAAGCAGGGGAGGAGGTACGTCTACATGTTTCTCACACCGTCATACAAGGCTGATTTAATGTGGATATGTGAGGCCCTTATGACAGTAACAGGAGCTGGATGATTTGCTCATTGTTCGTGACCACAGCCAATTATTGAAGAAATCTGATACCATATGCAATGCACAGGCACATTTTTGAATTTGTTGTCCACATTAGGAGTTGGTAAGACTTTAACATATTCAGCTATAGACGGCCAAGTAACCCAAACTGGATGAACATTATGGGATAGAGTTATCTCCCTTTGTCATCTCAATACTGTATCTGAATACTTAGTTAGATTCTGTGACTTTCCCAATAATTATTGCATATTTGTGAATTTCTTATTAAAGACATCACATCACCATATTTGTACCCATGTGGCATACGTTGGACGCAAAATAATAGAGATCCAAATTACGTACAGTGTACTGTGACTGCTTCATAATACAAACAATCGCATTGTCGCTCCTTAATCTAATGAATGAACTAATAAACTACCCCCTGACTAAATACACTATTCTTGATAATTGAGGCATTCCTTTTAACGTCCTTAATGCAATCATGACAGGCAACTTGGTGGTATGTTAGAATGTACTTATTGTGCATACCCTACAGGTGGTGGTATGTTATATTGTACTTATTGTGCATACCCTTCAGGTGGAGGTGATCCCCACTTCATGGTGTTCATGGAGGGACTCAAGTACCCCGTCTGTTTTGACGTGCAGGGGAAGGACAAGTCCATTTACCAACTGATACATGATCCACAGACAGGTACGTCTGTTGTGTGAGTGGTGGGTTCTACCTGTAGAGAGGGACATCATTACCGCTTCCACTTGTGTCATGACAGATTTTAATGAACCATTTATATTGTTGTCACCTGGTTATTCTATGGAGTTGACGTTTTATATTTTAATGCTTTCCAATTAAATGCCATCAATCTTTATATAATTATTGTTATAATTTTGATTGGAACGTGAGTGTGTGTGTATGGTGGTGTGTGTGTTGGGTGTGTGTGTGTGGGGGGGGGGGGGGGGGGGGGGGGGGTGTACAAGTCCGGTCTAATGTCCGATTTTATAGTGCTAGTCCACTGCGATACCATGTCGCAGTTTAACATGAATACCCCACTCAAACCCCACAGTATGCTGACGCTGAGCCGACCAGTCCTTCTTTTAGCCCCCTCATGCAGAGCGCCAGGCAGGGTAACAACCATCTATACCAAGTACCATCTATAACGCCTGTTGATATGACGCGACCAGGGATCGAACCCCCGACTTTAGACTATCCGGGCAGACGCTCTACCACTAGACCACGGAGGTAGTTTGGTATGTCATGAACCCATCGGACCTAGTTTTTATAACTGCAGTAAATGCTTTCGGTTTTTACAGATTTAACAGTGAATGCACGAATGGGCAAAGGTAAAAAGCACACACGACAAGGCGGTTTCAGAAAGTACATGATGGAGATTGCCATCATGTTCCATGACCTTCACCTTCTGGTAACCCGTAGCAATATCTCCTTGCACGAGGAAACCTATTCCTGGGACAATGAGTACAACATGACAGTGCCTGGAGCTCGGCTCTTCATAAAGAACGTCACAAGACGCATCACCCGACTGTCAGTGGTGTTTGACAGCAGGTTCCAGATCGACATCGTGAGGCATATTCACTCGGCCGCAAACCCTTTAGGGGGAAACTTCCTTAACATCGAGCTTGGGAATGAAGAACTTCTATCTGAAGATTCAGATGGCATCATCGGTGAGTCAAAAACTGCTTCTAATGCTTTGCAAATCAAATGAAATAAAACAAACCCACCTGTGATTCGTATGGACAATACAAACAGTTGTCAAGAGGCGACAGATATAAGATTTGGTTGGATGTTTCTGGAAAGTCCTTAAATGACAGACCTCAAGAAACAAACCACCAGTTGTGACCTACTCTTGAGGCAGGGGGCACGGGTGGCCCAGTCGTCTAAGGCGCCGCGACTCACTGTGCAGAGTTGCGTCCTTTGGGCACGCCAGAAACCTATGATTGTGGGTTCGAATCCCGGTTCGCCCCGCTTATGTTTGTAGGTTTTTCAGCACCATACTCGTGCTCGTGGGTTTCACCGAAGTGGTAAACGTCTGAGACCTGCATCACTTCGGGCTTTCCTCCCACATCAACCTGACATGACATACTGGAATACTGCGGAGTTTAACCCAACTCACTCACTCACTCACTACTCTTGAGGCATGTACAGTTGCTGCCATGCATATGGTTTACCAACCATACCACTAATTTTAACAATTGTTGCATACAGCCTGATTTACTCTCCTTAAGTAATTATAGTTTGTCGTCACCATTTCTGTCACAGACCTATGTCACCCAACCATACATTCTTCATTCACCTGCGGTGATGAACATGCAAATGTATGTGGGATCCCTTGATACAGTATAGATACCATTTGTTAAAAGGCACAAAAACATGTCCATAATTATAAGAAATCTCTCCTATGTACGATATCATAACCAAGTGTTATAACCATCAAATAGTGATGATACCAGGTGTTCGCGAAACGTGAGTGTATCCCCGCCCAAAGCACATGCAAAGGCAAGTCATTTGTCAAATTTGAAAATGCCCTCCGCGTCTATTGTAACACTATTTGAATGATGTAACCCTTATCAAACAATGTTTTAACAAGAATCGTTGAATTGATGTTTATGATTCTTCACAGGGCAATTCATCCACAAGAAAATCCGGCTTCAGACCATCACATACAGAAATGGACACCTTGTGGGACACCTCCGTAGCATCACTGGACTAGAACGCCGCCATGGACGGGCCCACATCAAACACAGGCACGATCCCGTGTGGAACGAAACGGTTTCCTGCTGGTCGCTTAGAGAACAGGCGAAGCGACTGTTTGATGCCCCTCCTAAGTACTACATCGTTGACGACATGTACCAGACAACGTTGTCTTGAACACGTGGTCGTCAAATGTATTGATATGTACCAGACATCGTTGTCTTGAACAGACGTTCGTCAAATGCATTGAAATGTACCAGACAACGTTGTTAAGAGATGCTTGAATAATATTCTGACAATAGATGTTGACGTTACTCAATAATCATTTATCTAACCAAGTTTTATGCCTACTTCCCATTATGACAACAGTTACTGTTTCAATACACAGACTTCATGGTTTGGTCAGTTACTACCTATCATCGCGCATACGGAGTTGGAGTGGTCAAAACAGGAAAAAGACAAAACAGATTCTTTGAAGTATACATTATGACTAATGTTTTTATACACATTCAAGTGAATTATTCATTCATCTATTTATTATACTCCTGAATTCAACTCTAAGTTTGAGAATAATGTAATATATACTACTCAAAAGAAGTTAAGGATCACCTGATTCTTCCATATTACAATAGTTAATCTCTCATGCCATGACAGATTAACATTACCAATATGAAAGCATCGGATGATCCTTAACTTCTTTTGTGTTGTATACATTTTTGGGATGAGAGGAGACTGAGCAAGTACATTATTCTGCAGATAGGTTCATTTACGCCCTTCTTTTTGTACTGGTCAATATGGGAATAGTCATAATAGTAAAGAACTATAATGCACAGCATATACATAATACTATTGTATAGTTACTTATTGGCGTGGTTGCATTCATTTCATTATGATTTCTTGCACTCGTGAGATGGGACACTGCAGCTATTCGGAGATAGCATAGTCAGTATACAATCGTGTGTACCTTAAGGAGGAGTACTGTTGGAATGTATGTCAACACGATGTTCAAGATACTCAAATCTTGATTGGAGGAGTATGTGTGCTAAAAAGGAAATAAAGCGAGAATGAATAATGGAAAAAGTGTTTTTGTCTTAATACAATCAGCAGTGACCGTCCAGCACGATAGGAATTAAACATTGTTTCCGCAAGAGAAAAATAAGATTATCATTGTGTTCCGCTAGTATTCTTTTTCGGCACATGGAATTTTCTAAACTGGCATACCTTGAATCGATATTACAACATGAAATTTCGAATTTAATGCATATGATTTGTTTATTTATTATTTAATGCCGCATATTCAAGCTATATGACGGCGGTCTGTAAATAAGTTTGAACAAGACAATCCAGTGATTGGCACCATGAGCATCGATCTACGCAATTTGGAAACGATGACATGCATAACCGAGCAAGCGAGCCTGAACATCGGATCCTTACGACAAGCATGGTTGCCGAAGATAGATTCTTACCTGGATATTCATGTGTTTAATGCACTTGAAGGTGCAAGCGTGACTGTTCTATACATATTTTGAATTAGACACAGTCGGCTCCTGGGCAGATATCAGCTTTATGGGTTAGGAGCATGACAACAATCAAATAGCAATGAGTGCACTGCTACACTGATTGAGATGCAATGAAGTCACCCTTCATTTCATCTATCACTGATGAAATCATGACTTTGACATTTTAGTTCAATTTGAGTTTCAATGAAAACATTAATAATAGCATAACATATGCTACATGGCATATTTATAGATATCCCACTAATACGTTTCATACACAGTATGGCATTGTTAACAGAGCTGGTATTAAGCCGAGCCGTTAGAGTCGCGTTATCTCCTTTCCGTCAAGGGAAATAGCCACTTGGTGTGTACCTCTGCAGCGCGTCTACTCTACATCACTATGGCATACCAGTCTTGACATTATTTAAACTTACACGGTGTCGGAGTCGGATATCATTGTACCATGTTATAAACATTGTTATAATTCGAGTCACAAAGCCATGCTAAAGGTAACACGATATTGTTACGAGTGATATGAAGTAAAGAGGTATTCCTCAAAAACACCCCCACAATTAAAATGGATTCGACAACAATCTGACCACAGTTCAGAAGGGTTTATTAAAACTACCCATGACACACAACATTGGCATCCTAGCAATAATAATCATAGCCAAGCAATATGGCATTATTAGTTGACAAACTATATTCACCCTTATCTCCAACCCTGCACTGGACATCGTTATGTCACAGAGGCACATGATTTACCAAGCGTCGACATGATCTCTGTTCCTTCAGCCCCGACATGGGTGCAACATCACACACGGGTGATAGAGTTCTCATTATTGATAAAAACCTAGAGGAAGAAACAAACGAGTCTATTTCACATCATAAGTCAAAAGCCTATCAAAGAAGTTATTTCACATCATGTCACGAACACCACTGACATTCTACCACAAAAACAAATGCTTTGGCGAAAAACTACTTTCTTTCACTAAACACTACAAAACAAAAGCTGCTTGCTTCAATCAATCAGATCACAAGCTGTACACTCAAAAACGTAATAAGCAATTCACTCAACTGAAAGCCCCTTACTTCAATTCAAGTCTAATTGCACCTAATATACTGAACAACATATAAAAGTATACGTCACATATTCAAACAAACATCAGCACATATAACAATATTTACATGTAAACTGATAATTTATCTCTGTTTAAATCTATATCGTGGTACATGTAACTACATGAGGAAAGTCATACCTCACCAACAAGCAGAAACAACAAATACAGTAGGAAACTTGAGGTAGTTATGGGAGTTTTTCAATTTTTCTAATAGTCAGCAATTATACTTCTCACACGAAAAAACATATAGTTGGAAAAAATATTATGTAAGCGATTCAGAGATGGGGTTTTTTATCAATAAATCGTTTCACAATCTGTTTGCTGTTGGTTTTCACACATATTGGTTTATTTTACCACCCGAATACATCGCGTTTGTGGCAGACCGCAAATTATATAAATAATGTTTAAAGAAGTCGCATAAATATGAAAGTGCTGTGAATCTCACAAAACGTTTGATGGAGTTGCTACACCGACACTCGTGGCTACAAAAGTACATGGATTTCGAGTTTTTCATCACTTAAAAGATAGCAGTGAAAAATTCAAGCCTAGACTTACTAATGCTCAATGAAACAAAAATTGTCCTTTTTTAGGCTCTCAGTTGTTCCAAGGCTACTGAACGTTACACAGAGCACCATAGAACGACTATGGCACCGTTACCAGGCACAAAACACAACATGTAACCTGCCTCGCTCTGGAAGACCACGGGTACGTTACATTGCCCGCCCAGGACCGCTTCTTAACGGTCACTCTACCACTTCTGGCATAATTCAATGTCATGAAGGAAATGATACATGAATTGAAAACTGAACAGGACAATCTGTGGACGGGAAATGACAAGTTATGGAGAAAAAAACCCTTTAAACTTCCGTGGATAAAATTGAAGCACAGATGAGGAGATCAAATGTGGTAATCTTTGGAATAGATGATGAAGATGCAAAAACATAGGAAGAAAGTGAAAATTAAGAAAGAAACTTTTTGAAACATCCATCAAAACATAGATGTAACACTGGTTTGGAAAGGGTTCTTGGATTACAAAGACGAGTCTCAGACCTGTCCTTACGAAGTTTTGTTCGTTCAAAGAAAACGAAAAAGTTTTAAAAGAAGCAAGAACAGTGTTGAAACGCATCAAGGCCCACAGAGTTAGCGATGACTAATAATAGTATACAAGAAACATTCGAGTGACGAGGAAACAACTTGGAAAGTATCTGAAAGAATACAGAGGTAAAGGTGAAAAAAACTGCTATATTTTATATGGTAAACTCATTGTATCTGATCGTGTTGGGTATGACAGTGCAAATGACAAACTCTTTGGGTGGATCCGCGAAGAAGGGAGATAACTCAAGGACAAACAATGGAAGGCAATCAAGACCCCACTAAGAAGGTAAACACAACCTAGGGATGCGACCGAGGCCAACGAGATACTTCTTTGACGAAGGAGAAATATATACGACGCATAAACAACCGTCTTCACAAAATACCAGATATTTCAATCCTCTGTTCGAATATCAATGGATTATTCTCCAAGATTAACACAGAATTAAACGGACTAAAATCCATCTTAAGTTAACGCAGCCTTCTTGCTCTCCTCGAGAAATGGGCTAAAATGACAAGGCTTTCGGGATCTATTTTCTGGTTACAGATCATTTCAATGTACTAGGAAGAAACTGCATTTGAAAGGTAGATACGGATGGGGGTGGGGATGCGGGGGGGGGGGGGGGGGGGGGGGGGTTGTATCGCCGTCTACATTAAGGAAGGCTTGTGCGAACACTTCAGAAGAATACATAAAGAGTGGGAGGACTGTGTCTTGGACTGTGCCAGATATCTTTACCAAAGCATGTATATATAGCAGAAATAGAATTTAAATTATTTGAACTATTTTACTTGAATGTCAAGAATGCCGATTCACCTTGTTTGGTGACTTTAATGTCCGCATGGGTCAATTACAAGACTTTATCATTAACGATGGCACAGAATATCTACCATTAGAATATGCTTGTCTCGAAACAGTCTCGACTCCTTAATATGATTCGATCATCAAACGATTATATTGTTAATAGCTGTGGTCGATCACTGTTAGATTTATGTTGTCAGTTTGATATGCACGTGACAAATTGCAGAACCTATGCCATGATGTTGCTTATTGTGAGACAGTGTGATGATTAATAGGAGGTGTAGTAACAGAAGAAGAAATTAAACATGCAGTGAAGAAACTGAAAACTGGGAATTCTCCAGGACTGGATTGTCTCCCGCCTGAAATATTTTAAGAAGCATGTAATATCATACTGTCCTCAGATCTTTGTTTAGCGGTAACGAGAACTTAGATCTGATTTTAATGAGATTGTAAGAAATGTAAACAAAGCCAGTCGGTGTGGCTGGTTATTCTAAGTTGAAGTGTTTTCTGTTGTACAAGTTCAAACTGTGTTTCCACCACTAAAGTTAGCAGACTGCAGCAACTGCAAGCCATGAAACTGTGTGCTTGTCGAGCTGGTTGCGCTACATGATAACGTAACCGACGTGAATCGACGGCCTGTTGCGCGATATGGCGTCACCGTGGGACGAACATGGCGGAGGAAGAGCAATAGAACGGCCGGTTTGTTTGACTGCAGTATTTTACTACCAGCGTAGGTTGCTGGGGACCAATTCTGACCCGGATTAATGGTTAATGTTGATATTAAGTATACAGTTCCGTGACTATTTAATTTGCTCATTGCGAAGGAATTCGACACAATGAATACATTTGCAATATATCAATTTTTTTGCTAAATGAATGGAATGCACTGTGTTTTTAAACAATGGCACGCAAACAAAGGCTGGCTGTGATTGCACAACCCGTTCTCTGCGAGCCTTGTATCTTGGATATGCGTTGGACCAGTAACGGTGAGGTGAGGTGAAATGGGATTTAACGTCGCGTCCAAGATTATTGCACTTATGCACGCGCGCGCGTGTGTGTGTGTGTGTGTGTGTGTGTGTGTGTGTGTGTGGCTGCTTGTACTAGTCCGGACTGATGCTGATTTATAGTGCTAGCTCACTGAGATACCATGCCGCAGTTTAACATGAATACCCGACTCAGACACAGTATACTGACTCCGAGCCGACCGGTCCTTGTTTTAGCCAATTAATGCCGAGCACCAGACAAGGTAATGACAAGTACCATCTTTTAACGTCTTTTGGTATGACGCGGCTGGGGATCGAACCCCGAACCTTCCGTTTTCCGGGCGGACGTTCTACCTCTAGACCACGGAGGCAGTGGACCAGTAACGAGGAACGGTTTGCCACAACACATCCTTACACATGCAGTAATGTCTTGCTCTCGGATCTTCTATGACAACATTCCAGTCGTGTTTTTTATACTTTATTTGGGTTAAACGCCTTGAACTGTAACACAGTTATGTCACAGCGTCTAATGTTACGAACAGACACAGCACATACACGTTTTCCACTCTAATGACAATACCTGTAC